GGGATCTAATTTTTAGATCCTCTTGGGGGTCTGGGAAGGCTCTGCCTACATTTGCGAACCTTAGAGGGTCCATAGGAGCCATAATCTAAATTCCTTAAAGGGGGATGATATACAGAATTAGATAGGGGACTGCAACAGGGCTACTAGGAATTTGGATTATGGCCCATATAAGTCCACAAATAATGCTTACTTTCAGCCCTAAAGTGCCCATCCAGGGTTATTAAGAAACGCCAACTGCAAGAGGCTTTCGGGGCGGGATTGGCAACCCTGATATTACCCCAATATAACCTTCATATTACCCAATATAACCCTAAAAAAAGCCCCAGTATAACCCCAATATTAACCTAGTATAGCCCCAATATAACCCCAACATTACCATAAAATGACCTTAAGAAAAACCCCATGAAGTGTTCGGCATGTCGAGAGCTGATGCTTGGATGCTCCCGACTTTCAGGAACACAGCTTCTTCAAAAGGGTTTAGGGTTAAGTGTTTTTCACAAAATCTTAGATGCTGAGACACTTCCCTAGTGTGGGCCCAACATTGAAGCCCTAACCCCCACATCCGGGACCTTGAACCATATCCTGCAGAAGACTCGGAAGACAAACTTCTTGAGACCCAGCCAGCAATAGTTTAGTGGCAATTTCTGAAGTTTCTTCCAAATACTAGGGTTGTTCCGGCAGCATCCCCCGAAGAAAGCTGCACAATTAGGGGAAGACTAAACTTACTGGTTTTTAATAAGGATTATGAGAATATAATCGCTGCATAATCCCTATGTAGCAGGTTCCCTTCTTCCTTACTACGAACCAGTAAGTAAATCTCCCGAAGCCCAAAATCTGACATTGAGCTGCCTGAAGCACTTCATCCAGAGGCTGGAATATTTTCTCAGACAAGGCGGGGTGTTCATGAGAGCCATAGTCTAAACTCCATAAATAGGGTTCTATAGGGTTAGATTTGGGAGTATGCTGGGGGCTACTAGGAGTTTAGACTAGTGTTTCTGAATATTATCGTCCCCCTGAAAAGAGAGCGCCCACGCATAGAGACCCTAATATTGGATCAACAAAAAGGGGAGCCCCGATAAACATAAGGCCCCAAAACGAATTGGGGGTCTGAGGGATCCTATGGCGCAACAAAGTTACAAAGGATGAGGGATCCTTCGGCTCCTATTGAATCCATAAGGACTTGCTCGGTCTAGCTTTCAAGAGAATAGGAAGTGCAGGGTCTTCAGCCTTTGCATTAAACGGCCTGGTCTTAAAAACCTAGTAAATAGTAAATGCAATTTCGATCTAATTCAAATCATAGAAAATCGTTCCAAAATCAATTCAAAGGAATTTGATCAACACTTTACCTTAAAACAAAAATCCGGCCGAAAAAACAATTACTTTCTTGGGACACCCCAAATCGAAGAGGGGGTCCAGAATAATTTTCGAAAAAGCTTTACTTTATTGGGGACCCCCGCACTAATCGGGATTCGACATTAAAGAGAGAGGGAGAGCCAACATGTGGAGGGGCCTCCAACTGTTCTCAACTACCGGTGCAGTACTAGGGTTTAGGGTTAAGGGTTATTGGTTTCGGGTGTAGTGCCTAGAGTCTAGATTCCGATGGTCTTTGTGGGTAGGTGCCCCGTGCTTCAGCATTTTGTGGGACTGCAATCTCATGCGCATTCTAACTTTGCACAGGTAGTAGAAGTCCTGTTTTGTGGCTCCTCCGCGGGTGTTATGTCATTTTATGGAGGATTTCTGTTTTTCATTTTTTAAAGGGTTTCCTTCAGGGGTTTCTAAAATCATGGGTCCTTGTATTTCCGCAGGAAGTGGTGCTGTAGTTTTTTGTTAAAAATTTCACGTAATCAGGGTCTTGCGACGCCAAGGTAGCACGCGGCTTAAAGTCCCTTGACATGAGCAGCGTCAACAAATTTTTGGGGACACAGAAGGACTGGGGGACCCTCATCTAGAGAAGCAGTGAATATGGCGCCTACTTTCTTGTTTAAGGCTTGAGGTTGAGGGGGGGGATGTCGATTTTCAGTTTCTGACAATATGCCTACCACCAGATCGTGGCTTCCAAACTTGCTTGAGATCCAACTCGAATCAAGTAAGCGAGGGTTTGTGTTAGTCATGGTTTTGGTGAGCATGCATAGGCTTCATCAGGAAAGGAGTGCGAAATCTAGCGAGTGCACATGTGCCTTATCCCCGGAGAGCCAGAGATTCATAGAAAAAAATGACAACCCGAAAGCTCTGAAGCCCAGACACAAGCGACGGAATTGCAAGTTCCGGAGGTTCCTCGTACAGGCGCTTCGGTGTGGGATCCCAACTTTGCAATTCACCGGCACGAGGCCTTGGGGTTAAAAGGGTGACGGTTTTGGGTCAGTTCAGGGTTTTCGTCAGGGTGTGAACCTTTCGGGATTTGTTGGGGTGCAGCATGTGGGCAAAGCAGGGCACACCAGTTTTAAGGCGAGCAAGGCAGTGTAGACCTCTTGTGAGAGGGTTCAGTTCGTCAATTCATCACGGTTTCTTCCCATCCTACCTCTGCAACAACTACTACTGCAGTTATTCTGCCAAAGCTACTGCTGCTTCTAGTAATTCTTTTCCTGCAACTACTGCTATTGTCAGCAAGGCTATTATGACCACTGCTACCATCACTTATTTGCTGCTCCTAGCCACACTCGTGCTCTTACCGTTGTTGTGCTGCTGCTACTGCTACTGCTACTGCTACTGCTGCTGCTGCTGCTGCTGCTGCCACTATTACCACCTCCTATTATTACTACTACTAATACCACGATTACCACTACTACCATTACTACTACTACTACTACAACGACAACAACAACAACTACTACTACTGCTGCTGCTGCTGCTACTACTGCTATTACTACTACTACTACTACTACTACTACGAGGACTACTACTACTACTACTACGACGACTACTACTACTACTACTACTGCTATCACCACTACTTCTACGACAACGACAGGTTTTTCTTCTTCTTCTTCTTTCGCTGCTTTTATTCATCATTGATGCTACCACTTTGAACGTGGCATGAAGAACATCCACGCGCTGTTTTTGCCCAACTCAACTATGCTCATGCGGCCTGGAGTCTACTAACCCTTGGGGTGCGACTATAGTTGGCACTGTCATGGGCTGGTTTTCGGGGAACATGGAGACAGATTTGTTCCAGGGTAGCAAAGCTTGTGTGGGCTCCTTTGCATGAATGAATGACCTGCACCCAACCTCTCATTGACCTGGAGCTGCCTGCTGTAGACCGTGTAGACTCTAGACCTCAAATCCCTTGCCTTTCACCGTGTGGCCTGGCAGGGTGCAGGTACGCAAGGACCAGGTCCCCCAGAGTGAGTGCCCAAGATTGGTGGTTCACAAAGTTCAGGTCATTCTGTTTTGGGGCAAAAGAGCCGTTTTTGGATCTTGCATGGAGCTTCACCTCTTTCGAGTCCTTAAAATCAGGTGCGTTGTGGTTGTGCGCCTCAGAAGCATGTATGTATTGCAAGAGCACCGACAAAAGTCACGGGGATGGGTTTCTGGTAACAACAGAAGGTTGGCTTGTGGTGCTTCTGTTCCATCATCGCTCATCTCTGCTGGGGGGACCGCGCAAGCACCTTGTGAAACCTTGATTCTTGATTTGGCGCAGACTAGTCGCTAGTGCCCCACATTCACGCTGGTTCTTGAGTGAAAAATTTGAAGCCCTGCTGGCAAGTGCACGTGTTTGACATCACCCTAATGTATTTATCTTCTTCTATTCTCAAAATCTAGAATGTATTCTTAAGGAGTGAGACCTTTCTTTATCGCGCATCAAACCCCAATCCGTCTGAATTCTAAGCCCTAAGTCCGAAAGCCGTGGAAGGGTGTTCAAAAGCTGGAAAGCAAGAAGCTTTGGTTTGAGTTTTGGGTCACTTTACATGCTTAGCATGCCGAAGGTCCGCAGAGCGAAGGGAAGGGAACACAGTCGAAATCATTCACCAGATGGGCTGGGACCCTGGCACTGGGTTTGGCCTGAAATATCTGCTGCTTGGGAGCGGTTGTGCGTTTGTCCAGATGGGCCTTTGCACCTTGCAACAGTGTAGTACAGATCATGTGAGGTCCTTGTATTGTACGGGTTCTTGAGGCGTTTCCATGTGTTGTGATGGATTGGCCTGGAGCGGCTCGCAACGTGGTCTAGACGGTCTGCTTTTGGCCTTGAATTTCGCACGCTGCTGCAAGCCTCCATATACAGAGACCACATGCAAAGTCGCCCACTGGAATTCACGAAGGCATTCATGAAGTGGCGCTGTAGGGAAAGCCACAACGATTGGCCTTGCGTAATACCAGCAGAAGTTCAAAAAGCTAACTACCCCTGTTCAGCTGCCGTCTCCAGTCCTGAATCCCTGAGCAAGCTGCAACCGTCCCAAAGTTCTGAATCCTAAACCCTGAACTCTAAACACTGCATCAGCTCCATGCAGGTTCTTGATATCTTCTTTCCAGAGACTGCTTCTAGGTGCAGGTTCCTAGTCCGGCTTTGAACTTCGTAAACCCTAAAACTCTAAAACCCTAAAACCCTAAAACCTTACAACCCTAAAACCCCAAAACCTTAAACCCTCAAACCTT